AAGGTGGAAACAGGAAGAAGAGGGGAGGGGTGGGCTCTCATTGTGAAAACATCGGTCCTCCTCCCAAACACCGTCTACATACGTTGAGGCCCTGCTTCAAGGATGTGGTCAAGCATCACTCATTTGTGGGAAGCAGAGAGTAATTTCTTTCCTCTGCACTTCCACATAGCCTTTATTTGCTTTGTTTGTTGATATGTTTGGTTTTTTTTTCTTTTTTCCCTTTTCCCCTTCCCTTTTCCCCTTTCCCTTTATTTTTTTTCCCTTTAGTTAAATAGTTTAGCTAATAATAATATTTCCTTTATTATTATTATTATTATTAGTTATTGTTATTATTAATTATTTCCTTTAATTAAATTATCCTTATCTCAACCCGTGAGTTGTTCTTTACTTTACTTCTTCCCCTCCTCATCTAAGGAGGGAGAGTGAGAGAGCGGTTATGGTGTTTAGCTGCCTAGCACGGTAAAACCACCACAGAGGGTTCAAAATGAGTCTTTTCCAAGCAGTCATGTATGTCCATTGGGAGCAGAATGGTATTCTGTAAGGCATCTGTGACAGACCCAGAAATGAGACTGGATATTATGCCAGTTCATTTTCTTTGTAGAAGCAATATAGAATTTGAACTTATCTTTTCATCAGCTGGTAGTGGAGAAGACAGTAGACAATTTATCATGCGGACTGTCTTACATCTGACCCTTAAAATTCACATTGTCCAAATTCAGCACTTTATTTTGGCAAGCAGTTATGTATTCAGCTTTTAGGTCTTTACTTCTTGGACGATTCAGAACACAGTAATTCAGGAAGTAATATTTTAAAACATCTAGTACAAGAAATGGGGCCACTTTCTCATATGCTATTGCAACCATCCAAAGCTATTCCTTTCATGGTCTAAAAGAAAGGGGAAGGGATAGAAAAATGTTCAGAGGGAACTGCCAGCAAATGCCACACATTTTATATTTTGTTTTTCAGTCTTTTTTAGTGTTTAACTGTCCTAAGGTCTGAAGCATTTCATTTAATATGATATTATTAATTTTGGAAACAAAACAAGATCTAATCTTCTTGCCAAGTAGACAGGCCTGGTTTGATATCTTAGTAATGAATAGCACCTTCAGTCTTGACTATTACTAACTTGTAACGCTAAGTTGGCATCATTATAACGTTCGTAGGTCTTTTCTTTCCAGACCAAAAGAATGAAAGATTTTATCAAGGCATGAGATACATTCCAGCAGTATGGACAATTTCTTTATTGCTGAAAGTGTAGCTTTAAAAATCTATAGATCCTACTTATGAACAAAAAATTCCTTATACAGCTGTATTGTGTTGTTTCCACATTTGTTTAAACACAGGAGTCTGGCTAAGGAATATACAAACGATTCATAAAAACATGCCTATGTTACACATGTGTGAACCACATGGAAAATAACACGTGGCTTTCAAACTCAGAGCATGGGTTTCCCTTTTTATAACTATCCAAAGTAGGAATATTCTAAGTAGGGACATTTTTTCAATAATATTTTTGAAACCTTAACCTCAGAGGGTATCAAAAATGTCTCTCATGAGATATGGGGCCACACATATTGCGGACAGCTGTTTGGAAAAGTTAACACCCTCCTGAAAAAGCAAAAGGGATGAAGTCTCCACAGCTCATTCTCTCTGTGAGTGAGAACCATACCTGGAAGACTGAGCAGAGGTGTCCTTCATTTACCTCCTTATCTGTTAACTGCACTTTAAATTCTTGATCAAAATGTAGAAGTTAGCTTATTCCGTTTACACTATCTTACATAAAGTCAACAAGGACATAGAACCAGTGGTTCATACAGTCATTGTCAACAATGAAGATCCTAATTTTCACATATGGAAACATTGGTTTTGAACCTTAGTTCAGTAAAATCAGTGCATTTACTCCCTATTATCTTTGGAAAACATTGGATCAATGTGTCTAGCAAGTTTCTTGCACTGATGTTAGATGTTTGAAAAATACATCCTCAGAGACTAGTGGTGAAAACTTCAAAAAAGTTGCATGTTATTTCTTAATGATGTAACATACAGTTGGTTAGTTAATTTTACTTTTATAAGCCAGAATGTAAGATCACTCTGTTTACCAGTCACAAAATCATGCAAGGACATTAGCTCTAGCAAAGCTGTGCTCATTGTTTAACTGGTAGAGAAGTCAAATAAAGCTCTATCTTGTTTCTTATGCTGTCTCTGTTGAAGCTTTTCTCGAGTCACTTAGCTTTCAGCTTAATATAAGCAGTAAACCATCCCAGTTTGTTAGTTTGTTTGTGCATGTGAACTGGATTACTCTGGGTATTATCTGCATTTGTGTATTCCACAGTGCTATAATGACAGAAATCTGAATATTAGCTATGGCTCAGATAGGAATTCTGCATCCACTCCTAGAACCTGTATTCCACAAGCTGTCATGCAATGAACACTAGAAGGTTGTTCCTTGTGCTGCAGTATCTTCACCAGTATTTTGTTTTGTTTTATAAAGTTATACAACTAATAGCAAAGAATCATTATTTTAATGTGAATGCAGACTACCATACAAAACACTTCTTGGCCTTCCACTCTGTTTTTGCTTTTATGAAAGTGCTCTACTACAGTGCAATATCAAGAAAGCTCGCTCTGGAGTAAGTGCAAACTTAAATTCAAATAGCATTAGCTGTAGATTTGTTTCAATTATTTCAAAGGGATCAAAAACAAGCCTTCACAAGGCCAGATACTACATTAATGTGCACAGCAAAGAGCCTCTAGTGAAAAAAATGGGAGGATGGGAAAGAAGGCAGCAAAGATAGAACACGAAAGAATAAGAATAGATTTAAATAGAAAAGGACAGAGAAAAGCTCTTTTTTTTTCGGATAGCATAAATTGTTGATGGGAAGCCAGGGAGAAGGATCTGGATGGACACAATGTGGGTGTCATCACATAAAAAATAGAATTAAAATAATCTCTAGTGTTTCCTTACAGGAAACCCACAGCATGGTGCAAATAAAGTAAAACAATGCTCTAGCGGTCAGAACAGTGACAAATGGTGACCCTGAGGGCTTCTCCTGTGGCTCCTGTTTTGGGACTGGGAACTATGATAACTACTGCGGAAGGAAGGAAGGAAGAGGAAGGAAGGAAGGAAGGAAGGGAAGGAAGGAAGGAAGGAAGGAAGGAAGGAAGGAAGGAAGGAAGGAAGGAAGGAGGGAAGGAAGGAGGGAAGGAAGGAGGGAAGGAAGGAGGGAAGGAAGGAAGGAAGGAAGGAAGGAAGGAAGGAAGGAAGGAAGGAAGGAAGGAAGGAAGGAAGGAAGGAAGGAAGGAAGGAAGGAAGGAAGGAAGGAAGGAAGGAAGGAAGGAAGGAAGGAAGGAAGGAAGGAAGGAAGGAAGGAAGGAAGGAAGGAAGGAAGGAAGAAAGAGACAGTAAAATGCATTTATCCAGAAATCAATAAACCAATAGAGGCAGCTGTATGTAGAAAACCACCCTAAGACAGAGCTTTAAATCACCTGCCACTCTGAGGCCAGGATAGATGAAGTGGTGGCTGATCCCATGTGCCAGAGCTGCCCTGTCCTGCATCATCAGACAGGAGACTGTGCATTTTCTGGTGGAGACAACATCAAAAGAGCAGGCCACATATGTAACTGTTATCATGGAAAGTGTATATTCCCATTGGCTCCACAGTCAGACACTCTGAAGCCATGGAAAATGCCAGAAAAGATAAGCCATACACCTCTTTGTTCGTTCCACTTGTTCAAATTGTTGTCTGCTCTGCTTTGCAGAGTCTTTATCAGAGTCATTTGTACAAAAGGCATCAGTCTGCTTCTGATAAGTATTGCTGATATCATTACTGCTGAAGGATTTCTAAGGGCATTTATTTATGAACAATGAACAATGAGCAATCAGCAGCAGGTAATTAGTGATTTATCTCCTTATCTATTAAGATATTTAGTTAAATTTGGAAGTCCTGCTACATGTTTGTTTTTGAATTAGAATTCCATCTGGTCATAAAAATACTAGCAGAGCTTGGCAAGCTAGAAAAACTCAGTTTCATCTGCTCGTGCTGAACTCTGTCAGGCACCACTTGCACTGTAGGGCCAGGTAGCAGCAGGAATCAAGGAATCATCAATCATTTTAACAATGCTAAATTTTCATAGACCCAAACGCTGAATCAGTGTAATTTCACTGCCTCCCTAATAGCAGAAATACTATTTCTGCCTTGAATACTGGAAGAGCAAATAGAAAGAATTTCCTTGGCCTCAGAGGAGAGGGGAGAAGGGGAAGTAGACCAGATCCCATGTTTTTTGGAGAAGAATTAAAGAGAAGACATCTTTGCCAGTCTCTCAGTGATGGATAACTATGATATTATCTCAAATACACCAGTCACAGACACGCTGTGAGATTCATAAAAGTCAGATTATCTGCTATCCATCTGAATAGTTTTAAAAACTGTATCTGCAACATCATCAAAGAAAAATATTTTTTGTTTGTTCTCTGCTTGTTGGTATGATTTTGGAGAAAATAAAATTGCAATAGAAATTCCCACTGAGCCAAATCTAATTTTTAAGATGCTGTGCCATTTGGTTTCGTTAAGTTGCACTAAAAACATCTGGCAGAAAAGGTTACTTCTTGATCTTTATTTAAAAATAAAAATAAAAATTCTCATCATCCCACTTCATTAATCTTCAGAGACATTAAGATTTGTTCATTTAATGTTATTCAAAAGTACAAGTTGAAGAATGATCAGTGGGGGATTGTTTTGTTGGTAGTTACACAGAGTCAATAATAGTTCTGCAGCTAAAGTTCTTATAATAAACCTGTTTTTTAGCTCTTCTTAATTATCCAAGGGTAACACAGTTCACTAAGCATGTCACTTGGCACAACTCCATGCAAAGCAGAATTTTCCTGAAAAGTTTGTTTATAAAATAAACAAGAAAAATAAGGGGGAGGGGCGGTGGGGCTGAAAGTGAAAGACACAAAGACACAGAGTGGGTTGGCACAATTGCCCATTTTAAGTCAAGCCCTAATCTTAACAGCCAAGGTTAGATGAAGCCATTGAGTTTAGAGCCACAGGACTCTGTCTAGCTCAATGAGAAAATATCATGCTTTCTCACAAAACATGAATCTTAGTAAGGTGCAATAAGGGACAAATGCAACTTGGACCTGTGGCATTTTGCAGAGGCTTTGAGGTTGGCCAAGATGTTCTGCCTTGCAGCCAGACCAAACAAACTCCAGGTGATATATAAATGCCCAAGACATCCTGAATGCACTGTGAGTAATTTTGTAGAATTGACTGATTTTTGGATCCAATTCTTTAAATACAATGAACATGAACCTGCTAGCAACATGATAGCCATTTTTTTTTTGTTGTTTGTGTGTTTTTCGTTTTGTTTTGTTTTTTAAAAGTTTTACTTCTCTTTTATTTGGCACTGCTATGCTTAACTATTACAGAACTCTCACTGCATGAACAGGTGTAAGAGCAAATAAAACCTTTAAACTTTGCCTTTGTTATCAAGAGACCATCTAGTACCACCTGCACTCAGAGATGTTTAATTAAAAATACACGCGTTAATATTTAACAGAGCACTCCAATATTATCCACAGAACTGCATGGGACAAAAGACATTTAAAAGCATTCTCACTCCGAAAGATTTTTTTTTCCTGATCTTAAATTTTTCTTTGACTGGAATTACATGGTAGAGTTGAAGTTGATACATGTCACGTGTTTGCCTCAATAGCAAAAAGTATTTACAAATGACAACAAAATCAGAGCTGTTGTAAGAATGTTTTTGAATTTCATCTTTAATTTCACATGAGAGATTTTCAGATTTAAACAACTTCAACCATTCTGCCCAGATGGATTTTGAATCTGAAATTTTATTGTTGTACAATTAAAAATATTTAATGATATTATTGTGCTTACTGTTTATTAATTTTACTAATAAGTTTTAAGTGAGTCCTATTGATTTTTCCAGGCAAATGAATTTAAATTAAAGAGCTTCTATGCAGAATCAAGAACATTACTCCAAAAAGGATGTGCATTTGACTTCAGCTTTTTTTTTTTTTTTTTTAAATCTAAGCAGTTTGAAATAATATAGAGTTAGCAAAGAAACTACAGCTATTTCTAATTATTACTGTGTCTGACAGGATGCATATGTTTATGAAATAATCTATGCATAACACAAAAAAAAAAAAAAAAGCTTTTTTTACTGTTTTTGAAATAGTGTTTACATCAAAGTAAAACATATGTGTGATAAAAGAACAAAGCAGAAATCCCTAGTTGCTAGTCTTATTGCAGAACTATATATAGGATATTTACAACATTTCTTGGTGTGGTTGAACTCTGTGTGTCAGGATGATTAATTAACAGACATGAAAAGTTAAACCATGAAGGGCTGGGGAAGATATAACATCTCCTAAACTATTGGGATAGGTAGAGAGGAACATCAGGCTTTGTCAGTGCCTTGCTGCAAAATTTTATTATTCCTCAAAAGGCACCTGGGCCCAAAACATCAAGTGGAAGCAATTTTACAAATCAAAGGAGATAACCATGTGAAAAAATTATGAGTAACTAGTTTACTCCAAGGACCTGTAATAGGATCTGGAGCTTTCATCCCAGCCCAATTAACAGTGACCAAGACTAAGTCTCATCAGGAATAAATCGGACAGATGTTCCCGTCACAAAATCACCACTACAGCTGACACCAATTGACTTGCTTATTGGTCATGTCAACAAAGACCCAATGATTACATGAGTATGAATTATTGTCCTTCCAGAAAGGCTTTAGGATGGCTAAAAAATGATGCATGTAGTGTGTCTAGACTGTGTCTAAACTGGGAACAGACATCGTTTAGACTCCTGTTCGAAGAATTGCAATTGGCCTGATTCTATTATTGGACACAGATATTGTAAATCATGATTTCTGATTTATAGCAGCTTCGATGATATTAATGGAAACTGTTCAAGATAAAATTCATGGAAGGAAGAACCAGGTTATGACACTAGGCAGAGGGGACTCTTCACCCTTTTTCTCACCCAGAAAGTTGCATGCACAGTGTCACCTGAGGGAGGACAGGCTGTACTGCTGTGCGTCTCTTGCAGTAAGAGCTCAGTTGGTAAATCTGATAAGTGATGAAAGAAGTATCTGATGAAAATAATTGGTGAGCAAATGGGAAATATTTTGTTAATGAGCTTTTCATTTCCTCAGTGGGGGAAGACACAAAACAAGTATTGCCCCTCTTACTCTATGATGACCTTTTTTAGCTATTTGCATATTAAAAAGCATATTGTGAATTATCCTAATTTTCCTTCACTTTTTCTTTCTTGTTTTCCATACCTTCCATTAGTTCTATAATTAGAATAATATTTAGTTAGCTAAAATTACATGGTTTAAGTGTGACTACTGTGTCTGGAGATAATGTGAGCAAATGTTGGCATAAAATTTATAGATACAGAAACATAAATAATTCTTTAATGAGTTCTTTCAATCTTAATGTAATCAGTGGGAAACTAAACCAGTTGGTCCCCCCAACCATTGAAATATAAACTCACAGCAGGATTGGTTGATAGCTGAAAAACTTCATTTTGGATAAGAGCCATTTTTAAGAAAAGAGCTGTTTACGTAGCCAGGAAAGTTTGGCTGTAGTGAGTAGACATCAGAATTGTTTATTATTGGAACCCAGAAGCACATTAATTATGTGATTTGAGTGACTGGGTAGCATCAACCCCTCTGGTTTTGCATGTCAGAGTGCCCTCATCTTGTACGGTGTAAACTGACCCGTAAAGTGCACGTTTGTGCACTAAAGGTTAAAGGAGGACTCTCCTCAATCTCCACCCAGGGTCTGCCAGGGTGGCTACACTTCAAATTTATGTTTTAGGGAGATCAGAGCGCTTTGATATACTGCACAGGGCAGCAGCATAGCTTCAATTTCACTTACATGTTGTGATTTCCTATGAAAGATCATCTGTCATGGGGAGTTCTTGTAACACATTTGCAAATAAGGTCAAACAATTTGTTCAGAGGTGAACACGGTAAGTATAAACACATTGTAAATATTTGAGTATGAGTTTAATGGTGTTTGAGAGGCTTGCACAAAAAACCTCACAAATAAAATTGCTATATTTAAAAACAAATTAGAAACTTGCACATTATTTTAGCCTTTGGTGGGCATTCATCATCATTACGGACATTTCTGTTTATTTTGGTTTGTGTTGGGAAAAGAGAACATTTAAAAAGACCCAGCAGCATGCTGCGAGCTGGGGCCTGCTGGGCGTGGGCCTGGCGCTCCAGTCAGCCCCACCATTAGCAGCATCCCCAGCAGACCTGCCTGAGGAGCCGCCTAGGGACTGGCAGTGGCTTCCAAAACACTGATACAAAAGTCCATTAGAGTTACCAGGGAAATATTTTTGGAGAGTTACTATGGTTAGGGGAGCAGGTCTAGTTTGTGATGTTTTGGGGTAGGAACAGCTCAGTGACAAACAATGAAGTGAAGGGCCGACTTTGCTGGCAGCACAGGGCCTGCTCTGCTGTGAATGGTGGTTTTGTATGAAAAATGTCAAGTGATAGTCTGTACTACTTTTCATGAAGGCACTTCATATTTTGGGGAAAATAAGATGAAACCAACTCCCAAAATACCTTATTATTGCTATTTTTAGGACTGGAGAACCACCTGATTTACCTCAGACATTGATCAAAACACTACCAGAGATTTCTTGTGAATCTAGCTCTGATGTGCCATGTCCAGTCTGTCCGTAGCAAAGTCTCCTTACAGAAACACTTATAGCCATATTCCAGCACACTCACAACAGGGAAATTTTCTTGCTCAAGGTCTTTTACGTCACCGCTACATTTTGATATGGCTTTTGGAGTGAAGAATGTAGTAGAAGATATTTGCCAGAGTCTCTCCCCCAAGTTTAGAACCCTGAATAGTTTCCAAGCAAATCTGCATTTGAAGAGTATTAAACCCATTGATTTCTGAATCCAAAAAGGTTTAAAAAAATGGCCTTAGAAGTAAGACTGAGTGTCATGATTTTCAAGTCTGCAATGTCCATTTTCTGGTTGTTTATACAGAACCCAAACCTGCAAATACTTCTGCACATAACATGAGGAACACCATACCTGAATATAGACATTTGTAAGCTTACATCTTCAGCTACCAAGCTGTTTGAAACAGAGAACTATGTTTATGTGGAACAGTATCTAAAACATCTAGCCCATTTGGGTGGCTGCAGAGTTGGGTGTTGGACATGTCTTCAATGTGTGAAATAACACTTTCAGACTACACACATTTTTCTTCCAGACTTCAGCCTTCAAACACACAAAACTCAGCAAGTACTACACAAAACCTTAAAATGGGGCAGTGGGTAATACCTGCTGCTTCAATTTCTCTTTTAATCTTTGCTGAGCTGCTACTCTTTAAATTGATCCTATAGCTAATTTCCCACCCCAGCATTACCAGTTTCTGTGCTTTGTTATTTTTACTTTATTTTGTATAGTTTAGTATAGCTATTATTTTATTGTTTCTTCTCATTTGAATGCTGGAAAACCCATGTCACAGTGTTGCAATATTAATTCTGTGCACCAGCTCTGGTGATGTTATGGCCATGTCACAGCCTGTACCATGTCATGGTCCTAAAGGCAGCTAGAAAGTACAGACAGCTGTAGATAACATGAGCTCCTTGCAGCATCCACTGTATCTTTACCCTGTCCTGGTTCTGCAGTCAACTGAAATGTGCCTGCAGCCATAGACAAACAGAGCTCCAAACCACCCACCAGCTCTGTACTATGAGATTGTTCATGCATGTAAATTGTAGTATATGAAAAATATAAAAACCAGTAGATTAAAATATAAATGTATAGGTAGGACTTCTAGCATCAAAGTGACTTCTCTGTCCAGTAAAATACTAAAAATGGTATGGGTAAAGAATGCCAGATCATTAATCTTACTCTTGATCATCTTGAGCCAATTTCACTCCAGGGTTTCATTTGGTCTTTCCTGAAGCCTTACTATAAATCACATGATGTACAGCACACAAGGAATACTTATTTTGATAAGGTTAAGTCTATGTATTCCACTGCTGTGTTGCCATTTAAAAAAATAAAAATAAAAATCTAATATGGCTTTATAAGTTGCCATGCTCAAATACACTTCGTACCTGTTACTGTATAAAAAAGGGGATTCTATGTGCCAAAATAGCAAGGAGTGTCGGCAGCTGCTTTGACACCTCTACATTAGCATGTTTGCATGTGCGTAACCCATTTCCTTCATGGCTACACCTGGACGAGGGAGCACCGCACAGCCTTTCATGGTTCCTTGGGGAAAGGTGAGCTATTTCATAGGGACTGACCTTCCTGTCAACCTGTGAGACACCATAAACCAAACTGATGGAGGACTGGATTTAACTGTTTCTTCTCAGCCAAGATCACACCATTCTAGAGATTGCTTTGTCCCAGCACAGAAGTGTGATCTGCTGCAGTAATTCTGCCATGAATGAGAGCCTTTCTTTTGAGTCATACACTTTTGTTTCCAGTCTACGGTGTCTTGGCTTACTACTGTGCTGAGGATTATCCCTGCAAAAAGCCAGAGCCTGGAAAACTGACCATTTTCAGCAGCAATGAAACTAGTTTTTTGAAAAGTATTTCCCTCTCTACATATAAAAGTGGTCTCACTACAGTGAGACTAGGTAAAAAATTGTAATAATAAAAATAATATAATAACATATTTTTATACTGTAATGTAATAGGAAAATGTAGTACCAATAATACTATCATGAATATTAGCATTATTAGTAGTAACATAATATTCTTCTAGTTAAAGCTTAATTTTTCTGGATGTCAGTCAAACATAATGAATTAGACTGTCTTGTTTTTCAAGCAGAAAAAGTCTTGATCTTACAGGAAACTTCATGCAGACAGATCCCAAATGACTGCAGAGAGGGTCTCAGTCAGCCTGGGGAAATGACCCAGCAACACAGCTGTATCGGGACTGGTCTCCAAGAACAGGCCATAGGAGACTGAAAAGGGAGAAAAGCTAGTACTTATTGCATATGCACTAGGAGACCTTTGTATCAATAGTCTGGATTCAGTTTTCTCCTCTTCTGCCATCAAAATCCTACCGAAACAACTGCAGGCAGCAACAGAGTCATACAGATACAATTTATGACAGAATTTGGCACAGAGGGTTTATTGCTCCATTCTGATGGGTTGAGGTCTCTCGAAAGTCTGATCAACTAATTCATAAATGCTTTGTGGAGTTGTATAGTTCTGTATTAAGGGAAGTGAGCTAATATCTTACTATTACTTCATAATATCTAATACAAAGTTAATGAAAAAAAGCCTTGGCACTGCAAAAGCTGTGAAACTATATACACTTAAAATAAAATACTGTAACACAAAGTGGCTCTGAACTCTTTCATATTTTTTAAAAATTCCTCTAGGCCTGGAGGGTCTGTGAAATTTTTATCATACTGGAGCACTCAAAAATATAGGATGTCACACACCAGAGGGTAGGCTGAAATTGTCCTTTGCTCATCCTTTTAATATCCTATTTTTGAGTCTCCTGTAGTCATTCTTTTTTCTTCAGGTCCCCTAAAGGAAGACTGTACAAAGCATGAAGAGCTCTGCCTCTGACTACACTGAATTTTATGCTTCAGCCTTTTTTCATCAGCACCGGACACTTCAGTTTCTACATTAAAGCTTAAAATGTTGTGCCCTGGCTTACAGATACAGCCCTCCCTCCTCCCCAGTTGCTTTCTAGTAGTATTGTGATGTGGACATCAGGCTTCAGATTCTGTTACTACTTCTTTAATTCATTGGCTACAGAAGTCCTCAAAAAGTCCTGTCTTGCAAGAGCATGAAGTTTATAGACATACAAGAGTGATAGCGGCAACAGGGCTGGAGTGCATCAGCAAAGCAAGCAGGGTTCGTGTCTGTGAAGAATTTATTTTATTTGCTTTCCCAGCTTTGTTTCAAGGATACATATACCTGAAGGGGTGGCCCGGAATAGATGAGTCAATAGGACATGAATTTTAAAAAATCAAAAGAAAGGACATCTTTCTGGAAAAGTGAAATGGAAATAGGAAAGAGAAGACCAACAAAGCAGAGAGCATGTATCTACCCAAATGACATGAGGAAAACCTGAGGTTGGAAAGACTTTGGAAGAAGGAAGGAGAACAGCCATGCTTTAGCAGGGACAGGACAGGCAAACTGAATGTCCATTACTGCCTCAACTGTTTCCCGTGAAATGAGAGCCAACTTAAACAAGCTGGCCTGAAAAATGACAGCAGTTCAACAGCTGAGTTACGAACTGGTCTTCCTTGCTTCAGGACAACAATTCATGAGACAAAAGTGAAGTGCTTGGTGTATCTTCAGCCATCCAAATTTAATATGATGTTGTAAGCCTGTCCAAAACCTATTCTAAAGGCTGCTCTGAGGGAGGATAAAAAAGATTCTGCCATTTTCACAATGAAAATGAACTTAGCAGAATTAGCTGTTTCATGTGAAAGGAAACCCTGCTTGCCAGAAACAGATTATTTAAAGCCTTTGATTGACCTGAGAGACTTCCTAAACTTTCTTCCCCCTGCCTCCCACTCTCTGCACTATAAGGGTCTATTTTATTTTCCGATGTATCATGGCAATAAATTTAAAACTCCTGGATCTCTCAGCTCACTCTTCCTAGTTGGCGCCTCATTTGAGTAATAGGTCACGAAGTTGACATTCTTGCAGTGATGTATTGCTTGCTAGAGTGGCACTGACCAGGAAAGGCGGGTCAAATATTTTTTTTTTTTAATATAATCTTCTACAGCTAGAGATGAAATTGCTATAAAGAATGGCAAAAGAGCATATCCATGTGATACTCTCACTGGTGAGAGTATCCATAGGGGGAGAGAGAGACAACACCAAGAGCTACAGAGAGCTATATCTCAGGAAACATGGCTTATTTTGGGGACAAGCCAAAGGTAAAATAACAAGTGAAAATAAAATGACAGGAAGATTCTAAGGATATTTTCAGTACCTGATTACCTTCTGTTTAAAGGTTTGGCTCTAACTTCTTTTTACTTGGCTTCATCCAAAATACCCTTCATAGCAGAGAAAAACTGTTACTTCTGGGAAGTCAAAGCTGAGTTCATTAGACTTGGTTTTCTTTTTGTAATTTTGATTAATAGTGTTTCTTAAAGTATGTGCTGTTTCTGTTGGGCCATTATTCCTGATGGCGTGGTCCTGAAGTTTCTTAGATTGTTGCAATTTATTACTTTTTTTTTTTAAAGTTTAGTGTGTCTTCTTAATTTCAGAAGAAGCTGGAGTCCACACACGCGCACATACACTCACACACACACACACACAAATAACAATAGTAATAATAAATATATATATATTTTATTTTTTAATGTGCAAGCTACTACCACTCTTCCCAGGTTTATCAGGCTATGTTAACCATTTAAACAGCCAAATTCAGCATGATATGTTTTTATTAGTTTCTACTCCTCTTGATGGTATAAAGTTTGTCTGATGCAATTCTATTTGTTATACAATTAGAGTAGACATGCCCTGAAGCTAAAGAACAGAAAGTATTCTCTTTCAAAGTTCTGAATCCCTTTTCCTGTTATTACTTTGCTGTTTTATTATTCCTCAGGCTACATACAAGTTATGTTCTTGCTTTTTACCTCCTCTGACTTTCCAGACTTTTTGCCTGTCTTTCACTGAAAGAAGAAGTTTTGCAAAACTGTCATCAGGAAACTTATACAGCAAAGCTTGTATTGAATGAGCAGGGACACATGTTCTTGTACTTGGTAAGAAAACTTGCTATAGTTTCAGCAATCTGATTCCAGAAAGGAGATTAATAGATCTGACAACTGTCATAGATGAAGGACCATATTTCTGCTTGATCTATAATAGTACTTTTTGTTGTTGTTTCAGGCCCACATATTGTTTATGCTGATCCATCTCTTCATGCAGAAAACCAAAAGTCTATATTTCATCCTGGCTGAAGTCACCCCATATAGCATTATAAAGTTGGAGGAAGAAATTCTGACACCATTATTCATTCATCACTGACACTGGAAAATTATGAGATATCATGAGAATGTCTGAAGAAAGAAAAATGTTTATATTTGACTTCTTGTTTCTTGACCCTCTGAGGTTATTTGCTTCATATTTTCAACTTTTATCCACATCCTGGAAGGCTAACAAGTCACTCTATTTAATGGAAGCTTAAATTCTCATGAACTTCCCTTATTCCAGCAACTAAGGCACAGAAAAAAACAAATCGCTAGTCTTGGTGATAAAACTGAAAAACTTGGCAGCAGCTTTCCCTCCTACTGATTAGCTCTTTATTCCATGAGTAATCTGATATAAATAAATGGAGTAAATCCATTTACCAGTAGATATTATTCACTGTGAGTAAAACCAGCGGAAATACGTCCTGTTTAAAACAGAATTCACTGGAGCAAGCTCCCAAAATGATAGTCTTTGTTAGTCTTATCCAGATACACAATGTATAAAATGTATGCACATACATACACACACACATATCTGTACAAACACATGCACCTAAACTCATAAATATGGCACCAGGTTCTGAAATAAGTAGCAGTACTTGGGTTACAGTTCCAGTATTAGCATACCTTGCTGTGTAAAACACCAAGTAGTTATTTCTGTTAATCTTAAATCAAGGGAACTTCATCTGTATGAAAAGAGAAGAATTTGTTTATGGCTTGTCTCTTAAATGCAATGTAGCCACAGAAAGAATGCTGCTGTGTGATCACAAGGTGGTACACAACATGAGTTGATGTGCATAAACCAGGTTGGCTAGAGGAAGCATTTCTTGCATCTGATATTATAATTACAAAACCCTGTTGTTTGGGCTGCTTAGTTTTCTTGGTTGTATAGATTCTTGGTTGTATAATAAATGCACGTAGCAGTCTCTTCTTTAGACAGACGGCTTCAAATGCCCTCTCTCTTCTGCTTGAACACTGATTCTAACACTACTTGTAAGAACTTGATTTTGTTTGAAATTTCAGCTGCATCTGTCAAATTTATTTGAAAATCAGCTCGTGTTGTAAAAAAAAAAAATATTGTGAAAACACACAGTATGACTGCAGAAAGAGAGAAAACAAAACAAACAAACAAAAAAAGTCAGCTAATAGCAGTAATTCTGCCTTATTTCTGTATTCTATCACAAATCCCCATGAGAAATACTAGCTGGCATTTGTAAATGGCAGCTGCTGCCTGTGAGCTAGCACAATCAATCTTAATGCTACTGCAACTACACACATAAAGAATAATCAGTGTCTGTGAGTCAACAGGCTGAAGCATATACCATTTATTAGTTTCCTCTTAAAAGTATCTGAATAACAACTGACCAAGGCAGAAAAGAAGGCAGTAGCTTCTTATTTTCATGTCATGTCTAATATGATTACAGAGGTTTAATATGGGGTACTTGAAAAGTCTCACCTTACACATTCATCTCACTTTATTGGTTTGATATAATTGAGACAAATTAAACCAACTTAATAGGCTATATTCCATTAATGTCTTAGTCATTTGGAACTTTGATATCAGCTGTACTCTAGAAAAACAATGACTTCTAAACTGATATTTGGTCCCATACATATTTGGTCCAATGCATACATCTTATTTATTGGTAAAGAATAGAGAATGAATTCCCCTGTTCATTTATACTACTGATCATAGGACAAAGTTCTGCAAAATGGTATTATGGAATCTCCATTTAAAAAAAAAATAAAACTGGAAGTTATTAAAAAAAAAAAAAAAAAAGTGAGAACTTGTACTAAAAACTTACAATCCAAACTTTTAGATACTCAAGTACCACAGAGAAAAAAATCAAATTTTAATATTATTTCCCTGTTTGAAGAGTTACAAGTACCAGTGGATCCCAAATTGAGTACTCTTAAGACTAGACAAAGTGGTATTTCCTTTAATTTGAAGAAATAAATGTCCTGAATGTATTGCATGAATTGCATCTGGAGCCTTCTGATTTTTCTATGGTGGAGCAAAGATGAAAGAAATGGATGGCTGCTCTTTGAATTGATATTCAATATTGTGTGTTTGAAACCACCTTTAAGTCCCATCTAAGCCAGTTGTTTTCAGCTCATGGGCTGTGAATACAAGGGACTTGTAGACTACTGTGGTGTGGAAGGTAGCTATAAAAAATAATGTCAATGGCTCATATGAAAATGTGTTCCCATCTCTCAGGCTGAATAGGACAGCCCATGCATCTGGAAGGCATATTCTTAGTTTAAGCACATAAGAAGCCCACTAATTTGAATGTGGGCATGCCAAAGCTTAAACTTAAGAAAGCATATTTTGCATATTTTGCTGATATTTTGTTAACCTTGTCTTTTGGATGTCAAATGCCCGTAGTTGAAATAATCACTCACGTGAATCTTCACATAACTTTAACTGGTTTTGTTATTCTTCTCCAGACGCTTCCTATTCATACCAAGACAATTTATATTAAGGCATCCAAAACTGAACTGTGGTGCAACTGAAAATGTATCATTCCTAATTTTCTATTAAATCATTATTATAGTGAGATATTACTTCTATAAAGTATTTCTCTAATCCATCTCTTTGTTAGTTTATTTTGGAAAGGCATATTCATTAAACTAATACTCACAATGATTCATATCTGTTTCCTCAGGGAACCTTGTTAGATCAAAGGCCATTACGATAATGAGAAGTTTATTATATTTTCTAACACATACTACTTTTCAGTAGAGCTGCCAGAATGCTGATAGATGGATGGAAGAACGAATGCTTTGGTTGAAAACAAGTATGTCTGGGAGTGTCTATGATCCTCTTTCACTGATACGGACTCAGAATCATTTGTTGACAAATTGCATTAAATCTCTTTTTTCCAAAATAGTTCAAATAAAAAATCTGATCAGAAGCGGTTTGGAATTCCATATAAATTATGTTCAAAAGGTTCATTTCATCCCTTATTTTATGCACTTTTTCAAGGAATTCTTGAAAGACAGAGCAGCACAATTTGCCCTTACAGAAGCTGTGTCAGTTCTTCCTTATCATATTATGCTTATCTTAATGTGTAATCTAGTCTTGAAGTAGATTCTATTTGAGGTCTTATCTTTCCCAACTAGAGTAGATTAAGGAGGTAAGTCTTTGTTCATTGAAGTGCTATGACTTTCTTGCTCTCAAATCCTTGGAATTCGGAGACTGAGCCCTTCAAGACCTCAGTCTAGCAAAGGGTTTTATGCACTTGCTTAACGCTGAACACAGTCTCCCTGCAGCCAGCAGCTCCCTCTCTCATGCTTAAAACTACACGTGTGATTAAATACTTTCCAAGCTGTACTGAGCAAGTAAAAAACCTGAACCCCAGGTGAAGAAAAACAGTGGAATGCAACTATCTCAGGCAATTAGCACTTTTTTCCCCTTTTTAATATAGTTTTCATAAATCATATACAACACTCAGATCATTCAGAAGGTTTCTCTTTAAATACCCCATTTCATTAGTTCTAACTTCCTCAAACATAGTTTCTGTCATACCTAAGGAACTGCCAAATGTTTCCAAAAGAAGCACATGATGAGAACATTTCTTGGTGAGAAAAAATGAAAAGAAAACATGTGCCTAACTTTTCCGAGTCTGTTAGGAGCTCTTTCTAAATTTCTCTCCTTTCCTCACATGTACAGCTTTGAAAAGAATCCTACGCCCAACACCAAACTGCCAGAATTAGCCTTTTCCACATTTTTCCAGTGGCTAGCGGAAAATAGACCCCTTCTACTCTACCTTCTGCTATATCTCTTACTCTGAGGTTGTTTAGTTTCACTGTGTTAGCATCCAATGCAAGTCATTTTTGCTGCGTATAGCTGGGTCTTTTAACTGTTGTAAACCCTTTGAAGTTTCCTCTTTCTGCCAAGAGGTCAACGCAGTCTTTCTTTTGCCCCTTCAAAAGGACCTTTCATTCATTCCTGTGTTTGGTCAAGTTGTTGTGGGTTCTGCTCTGGCCTGGCACCACAAGTCCCCCCTACACAAGCAATTGCTGCTTTCGTTGCTACTGCTGTTTGTACTCCTTATTGCTTCTTTCATTTATCTTCACTGACACACCAAAGGAAAGAGGGGGCTGAAAGGGGAGAATTTGGCTGTAAGCTAAATTGATTGCATGTTATATTTCATGGAAGTCTGGCAGGAAGAGTTGAGTGATCTCAGAGTTTCAGGAATATTTTTGTTCCTATTGTGCAAATCAATCACAGTGAGGCTCAGCCTGGGCTGCCCACCCCCCGGCAGCCCACAGCAGAGTTTGCTGCATGTCAACAAAGGCCTGAATAGAACAAAAGTCTCCCAAGTGGACACTGCATTCACTTGATAGGGTCGCATATTACCCAACATTTAATAAAACTCACATGAATTTAAAAAGGATTCCAAGACAGATCAATGACTGGAAAAGGAATCAATTTAAATGGAAGAAGGGATGCCCTGAAATCAAGGTGATGCCATCACATCAAGGTGTCAGTTACTCTGTTCAGGTGTTAAATATCACGGGTATCTCAGGCATATTAGAATGAATTATTGTCAAATAAACTTACCTACTGCTTTCGTGTGATGGCTCCGCCCACCCTGGATCCATATCGTGGATGAATTCATTTTGGATGGGTTGTTTTTTCCCAAGCCTTCATCAGTAATACTGGCTTAACAGGCAGGTTTGGATCCTCCTCAGCTTTACATGTTTCTGTGTGGCACAGGTATAACCCCATCAGAGCCAGTGGCTTCAGGAATGGTGAGGCTCAAGCAGCACGTAGGCAATTGCCCCCTAAGTGCTTGGGCTGAGGTGCCTCCAGCAGTTCCCTCTCTCTGTGCCAGAGCACTGTCTTAAACTTTCCTGAAAAACAGCACAGCTGCCACTCTGCCCCTCTCATCCTGTCTTCTTCTCTTAAGACCTGGAAGTGGCCTCCTGCAAACTGTAGCCACTCTGCTAACTTAGTCTTTCACCAGGCCCTGGTTACTGCTCAAGAAATGAACTCTTCAGTTCTGGCACATGTCACATTTTAGTTTCATGCCTGAAAACAGAGTGAGAAATAATGACTCTGCATTCTTCCCTAGCCAATGCATGGCCTTAGGCTATCTAAAGAACATAAGGCCATATGATGTGTCACTGCTCAAAAATTTTGAAGGAATTCAAAGGAGTACTTTATGCTTGTTCCTCCCACGTTATCTAATTCACCACTAACTTTGGCAATCACTGTCACAAGTGAGAGCTGAGGGAACACTGAGTCTGGAATCAACACTCATCTAACAAGTTAGTGCTCCTGCACGATACGCAGCAACTTGCTGGCTGCCAGCACCTTATTTTGGACACAAGACAGACCAGAAAGAAAGAATGGATGCAAGAGCTCATGAAACCTTCTGCCCTGGCCCGACATCCATTCTGCAAAAAACTTCATGTGCCCGGTTTGGGTTTCGAAGGGCAGAGCATGTAATCCCTTCCAACCCAAACCATTCTATGATTCTATAATCCTATTTGCCAGAACCTCTTGTGCTTGGGGATCATATTAATCCCCCCCACTTCAGCATACCACAAAGTATATAAAACATTTGGATTTTTTTTTCTTTTAGTAATTCCTTTCTCAGTACAAATATATGTCCAATTAACATATTTATGAAAGGAGGAATATGCAGATACAATTTTAAATCAATATAAATATGGAATAAGGGCAACATAAAGATCAGAAGAAAATCTATGAAAAGAGACATATAGCCTACTTTGAATATAAGGATTATTTTCATATTTTCCTCTTTCTCTACTAAAGAGCAATCATTTATTTTTAGAAAAATATGCAGGACTGAGTTTTCCAACTGGCTATCCAAATTTTTTCCACTGATTCCATGTCTCTACAGCCAGAAGAGCAATCGTGCACAAAATGAGAATAGACTTGCCCTTTACCCATTTGTTATGCAGATATTCTGTAGAGTAATTTCATCTGGTCCACATAGAAACCCACATTTTGATGTTATTGGAAGGACTGAAATTTTCAGAAGAGCTTAGGGAATGGCTTCCTAGCATGTGACAGTTAGGTGTCTGGCTGCAATAATCACTTCAAAAATCTCAGCCCGAAAAGCCAAGTGACAGCCATCAGTTCAAGGATCCAGCAGAAAAACTGCATTCTTGCTGGGACTTTACAGAAGCAGGCAGAAAGCCACAATTAACAAACCTTTAAAACTGATCAGAATTTTACCATCTTAAAAGTTAGTATTCTGAAGCTCAGTCAGTGTATTTCATAAACACGGAACAAAAATGAGAGCTTTGAACAGCATGCATTTTTTCAAAATAAAGCCTCCAGACCACCACAGCCCTGTTCGAAGCCACCCAATTTGTCCCAGACTTGCATATTAACACTGTAAAAAGAAAACATTATGACCTGGCCCGCTGTTGCATTCCAGCATGGATGCTAACTGTGGAATACATGGATGCTAAACTAAGTGTTGTTACTACCCAAAAGTAAATAATTCACCTAAAATGCACAGCTGTTTTCAAGTTCTCAGTTCTATAGACAGATGGAAGAATAAATACATGGTATATGCCTTTCCTATTAACCTCAGACTTAATTGTTCTGTTCTCTGCCTGCACCATCAGTTACCAAATCAACTTTGTTGACTGGTACTGAATGAGCCATTATGTGCCAAAATACAGAGGTATTCTGCTAAGAAAAAATGTGCATCTGAAGCTCATCTGCTGTGGAAAAAACTTCAGGGAATAAAATAAATACTTCTTTCACTATATATTGAAATCAATTTGTGAAAAATAATAATAATAATAATAGTGAACAAATGATCACACGCATACAAAAAAAATACTGATATTGCTGCCAATGCATTTTAAAACATTTAAACCTGCTTCTGATTATCTAACATGCTTTCCATTTGGCATTTACTGCTTGTGATTATCTTATGTGCTTTCTATTTGGAATTTACCAAACCCTCCAGAGCATGATCAGACGTAAGCTAAAATTAAATGCTTCCTATTTCCACCAAATACTATTCGGATTTTCACTGTGTTGCTCCTTGGTTAGTTTAGTCGGGGAGGTTGGTGGATGGACTTAAACATGTCCTCACCATGAGCTGGCACACACTGGCAGGGGCAAGAGGTGCAGGAAGAGGAGATGGAGGCAGGCATGGGATGCACTCCACATCCTGGAGTACAAATCCCACAGGAAAAACAGCCTTCAGCTTCACTCGGGACTGCAGCAAGCCCTCAAGACTCAGTTTGATGAAAGTAGACTCTTTTCTGAATATATACAAGTTGAACACAGCTCAGTCCGGTTAATCAGATACGCGTTTAATTTTTGGCTGGAGTCACTGGTAAGCTGCATTCAGGTTGTGCTGCTTGGAGAAAACCGGCCAAATGACCTCAGATTGGTTTGGCTCTGCTTCTGCACTGAATGTGTGAACAAATACATCCGGAAGGAATAATTTCATGTTTACTTTGAAATGTATTTCCTCCAGTTTTCCAGTAATCCACTTGCTGCAAATATTTGAGCCAGTAAAGTCTAATCACACAAACATTATGGAAAGCAAACACCAAACAGGTGTGAAGCAAATAAATTCATTTAAAATCCGGGGAAGACATTCCCAGAATTTGACCAATACCATTGCCTATAGCTGCTGAGAGATCTTCATTCCTTTTTCTGACTGAGGACTATTTTCCATAATTAACTGAGATGTTGATGGATTAAGGATTTGATCTTGACTTTTCTCAAGTCTGGGTTGCACTGTAAGGAGTGGGCAGTGAGGAATATTTCTGTCTACTTACGCTTGGGTTTAGCCTGTTGTGAAACTGTAACCTCATGGGGATTTCGTGTGTGCTGAGTCTAGAACTGTGCGAGTATACAACGTTGTTATACAGACTGAAATGAGGATAATTGCAATGATTGCATGGT